ATCATCCATCATATAGTTTTACATCAAAAAGTGCACAACCTCAAAATTTACAACACCAAACTCAAATACCACATAATATAACGTGTAAGTCAGTCTATTGTACATCTAGATGTATAGTTTTCTAGTTTATATACCAACAACTTGTCGCCTCATCTCACCTCACCTATTATATGTTTATGTTACACCACAAAGAAAATCATTGAAGAAAATAATGTGTTGACTCAACCTCATTACTCAACTAGTAGTAGTAGTAGCAGGATCAAAGAGTTGTAATGGATCCATCATACGCAAAATGGTTATTTCATGAATGGACTAAGCCCATCACCCTCCCAACCAAGCTTCAACATCTGATCTACCACCTTCAAGCTCAACTACAATACAATTATCATCCAACCAACCAAAAAGTAAGTCACCATATCAAAATTAACAATATAAGAATTCTAGAAAGGCTAGGCTTGTCAACTTACAGCAGGATCTGTGAAGACAATCAATTGCTTGTCCGCTGTTGAAACCAAGAGATTTGTGTTGTCCTTATTCATTGCAATTGCTGTTATATCTTGCCCTTCTTTCAGCTGCAAACTGTGAAATACCTGCCACAGTTTTTTATGCTTGTCAGCAATTATTTTCTTATTACAGAAAAATCCACCATGAAAATTGCTTTCTATTTGGATTGGATGACATTTGCTATAATCAGATTTAGCTTTATCTTTTAGATTATAATGTTTGTTTGTAATAAAAGCATCATACGATGCCCTAATAAATGAATCAATAAAAATTCTTTGCATTTAACCCATTTCTTTATTCCAAAGACTCACACCCTGTTTTGTTTTTCAACTCCAAATATTGTTTTTTGGTTTGGGTGAAAGAAGCAGTAGTAACATACGTGCGTTTATGTTTTTTTATTATATATAGCATTCTACTTTTATTTCTTTCTATCACAGCATTCTACTTTCGGATTTTTCTTTATAGAGCATTGTACTTTGAAAAATCTACCCAATTACGGTATGCCAATGCTATAATTGGTAAGATTTTTCAAAGTATGATGCTATAAAGATAATGAACAAAAGCACATTCCTATTTCTTGCATTTAACCCTAATCTTTTTGACCTCATCAGATTCAAATCAGTAATCACAACTTGCAAATTAATAATACCTTAAGCGTATGAAGATTAAGGAAGCAAACCGAAGGGGATGTAAACTCCAATCTTTCAGTTTCACCATCTTCATTCAATTCACTATCACCATCGCCATCAGCACCACCTTCAGTTTCTTCCCCTTTGGACTGGATTCTGCTGACATCATGATTTGCAGAAGACGAATTCAACCCAATCAAAAGACTTTGTCCATCAGAAGAAACCTCCATACAACTAACGGTGCATGATCCCGGAATCCAGGTTCGAGCAATCATCTTCCCATTAAGCGTATGAGTCGAGAGAGTACAGGACAACCGATTCCAAGTCACCACAACGCCAGCTGGTGAAAGGCAAACCATGTGTGCCTTCACACCATCAAGCCTCCTAAGAACCGACCCCGACTCACCGAATGAAGCAAAACATCCGATGAATCAGAACACGAAGCAACGACTCCAAGATCGGCATCAACACAGCAACAAACCACTTCCCCAAAATGCCCCCGGATGACCTGGACGGGACCCTCGATGCGGCGTTTGCGGTTTTTGTCTGATGAAAGTAGGTTGTTGTTTGTGGATTTAGCAGAAGTTGGTGTGGTGGAGGTGGGTGGTGATTCGGAGATGCTGGTTTTTTGAGGGTCGGTGGATTGGTGGATCCGCCATACGAGGACCATTGTGTCTCGGGAACCGGTGACGAGGTAGTTGCTGTCGGGTGAGAGAGACATGCATGTTACGGGTGCGGAATGGCCCTCGGGCTATTTCTAGGGTTTTTGCAGCATCTGATGATATTAGTCTCACACTGTTGTCCACGTGTCCACCTGGTTGGAATCCAGAAAACTTAAAGTGAGGTGTTGGACTTCTTACATAAAAGGGTTAAACGGAAGAAACAACAATGTAATTTCATTTCTTTTTATTACTGCTTTGTACTTTGAAAATGTCATCCAAACGCAAAGTAATTTTTGGGTAGATTTTTCAAAGTATAATGTCATAATAAGAAAAAAAAATGAAGTACAATGCTTTGATAAGAACATTGCAAGTACAACGCTATAATAGAAAGGAATAAAAGTAGGATGCTATAATACACATATAAATGAGATTAACTGAACCACGCACAACCTACTTGTATTTAAGGAGGTTAAAGTAATCATGAAAATATCCTATAACAGTGACAAAAGCAAGTAATCATCCATACAATCGAGGCTGTCAATATTTTATAATGATTACTAACTTGAAACTTCTCCAAGAGAGAGATATTGCATTTATTTCAGCGATTCCACAAAAGAATCTGTTACATATCTGGCAAAATACAGATTTTCGGTAGTGACTAAACATTTAAACCATCATACTTTTTTGACCGCTTAAAACTACATGATGAAAGTAAAAGTGTTTTTCTGTAATTTGTTCTCACGTTACATGTACCTGATGTGGATTATTTTTCAATCAAGCTTTTCTATATTTTAGCCTTACCGTTTGACCTTAATAAAATTTAATATAGTGATCAAAGTGAAAAGTTGTTTACCTGTGATAATTTCATTGTCATGTGTGATGCAGACAATGGAAGAGCTTCTAAGACCTGGTGCTGCATACGCAAGAGCCTGTGGATATAGCCACTCCTCTGATCCAGACACCGATGGTCCTTTAAACATACGCATGAAACTTCCACCACTTGAGCTTGCAGTAGCCTTGGCATGTTGAAATAGGAATGGTGTTCCTTGCCCATCTGGCGTATTTGGTTGCCACCTGTGCTGTGCTATATGAGCTGCTGGAGCATCCGTATCAACAATCACAAGAGAATCTGAAAATGCCCGAATAGCAGAAGCAGGTAGATTGCATCGCTCTGGGGATGAAACCTTGTATGGTTTCACTTCTTTTGGATTTCGAAAGATGGTCTGAAATGCAAGAAATATCAACTTACTTTCTTTTGTTTGAGTATTATAGCATCCTACTTTCATTTCTTTCTGTTACAGCATTTTACTTTCCGTTTTTTTTTTCTTTTGTGGCACTGTACTTTGAAAGGTCTACCAAATTATAGCATTCTACTTTCAACTTTTTTGTTTTCTTATTAGAGCATTGTACTTTGAGAGATCTGCCAAATTATAGCAGTGAAAATTGCTTTGTATATGGATGACATTGAATTGTATGTCCATTTTTTTCTTAGTAAGGCATTGTACTTTGAAAGTTCTACCCAATTATAGCAATGTACTTCCATTTACTTCTGATACAACATTTTACTTTAGAGAATATATATATATATATATATATATATATATATATATATATATATATATATATATATATATATATATATTAAGGCATTGTAGTTTGAAAGATACACCCAATTAAAGCAATGAAAATTGTTTTGCATATGAGCGACTTACACAATTATAGCATTGTCCCTTCAACTTTTTTCTTATTAGGGCATTGTACATTTGTAGTTTTGTACTATGCAAATTTTTACCCAATTATAGCAGTGAAAATTGCTTTATATATATATATACAGGGCATTGCTATAGATCGGGTAGATTTTTCAGAGTACAATATTGAACATTCATTTCTTACTATTACAGCAATGTACTTCACTTTTTTTTATGGCATTGCACTTTGAAAGATCTACCTAATTATAGATTTGTACTTTCGACTTTTCTCTTTAGGGCATTGTCTTTTGAAAATTCTACCAAATTATAGCATTGAAAATTTCTTTGCATATATATGAGATTAAATAATCTTGTAGATTTTTCTACAGTACTGTAATAGGAAAAAGTAGAAGTAGGAGGGTGCAATAAATAAATGCATGTCCTTGGGACTATACAAAGGGCATGGAAATTATATTAGTGACAACATTAATAACTTTACCTGCATTTGAAGAACATCTGGAAGTGGCATCTTTTTTATGTGAGGAGTAGTTAAGAGTTGTGACGGGGTTTGTCCAAAGTAAGCAATTTGATCTTGCATAGCGCGTTGTTGGACCTTTTCATGATCAAAAATAAAAGAAATAAAAAAACCAACATATAAAAAAAAAAAACTTAATTAATCGACTAACAATTAGACTTACTGGATCCGTGATTTTGTCTATATCTACAGTCCCTTCATATGTGATGTAAAAGAATACATTGTTTGCTGAAATAGCTTCTTTTCCTCGCTGCTTATACCTGACATACAAAAAATTGAGTAAATGTCATGTTGTCTTACAGTATTTTCAGGGTGTTTGGATGTGCATTTAAACTAAATAATCAGTTATGATGTTTCAGGAAAAATTCTGATTATTAAAGTCAAAATAATCAGATTGGGAAATCTAAAACACAAATTGCTCAAGGAAACCAATTGTTAAGTTCCACATAAAAATGACCTATCTCCAGCTTTAATCAGCTGATTATTTGATTATGATTTATTTCTTTTGAGTTGCAATAATTTCTTACGTAACGCACATCCAAACACCTTAAAATTCTTTGCATGTTTATATGGTGCAAGGAGAAATGAAGATATGGCATACAAGACTATTAGACTAGCATCCAAATTGATTTACTTAAACCTTTTACAGAGTCAAAGCATCAAAACAAAATAAAACCCAGCACTATTAGAATATGAATGAAGTAGAGCTCACCCGAATATGAGATCTATCCATTCATGTAAATGTGCAGAGACATGCTCACTCTCAAGAGCCATGCGATGCTTATGCACAAAATCAACAGGGTTTTCAGCCCAAGGAGGAAGCTTAACGCAATCTGAACAGTAAAACAATAGAATCAAATTACAACCCTTAAAACAGAAGAATAAAAAAATAAAAATAAAAAGTGATCAATTAAAGCTCATAGTCCATACCTAGCTTATCTCCAAGTTGTGTGGTACCAAAATCAATCGAGTTCTCATTTAATAATATCTCTGGAAGGTAAAACAGCTCAGGAACCTAAGACAAAGAAAAGCAGGTTTTATTCTACATTTTGACCTAAGAAGCTAAAACCTTTTCTACAACAAACAAAAGATCAATTTTGTAGTTTTGTTATGTATTTGTACCAATTCTTTCACGTCACTCATGTCCTCCATAACACCATTCCAAGTAGCAGGAATATCTAAAAACATTCTGTCTGCATGATCAAACTTTCCACCTTGTAATTGAATTGAGAGAGTGGTAAATGGCTCCACTCGCATGAGGTAATACAAGACCTGTCACAAAGAAGCAAATTTTAGTTTTACACTTGCACACTGTCGACTGAAAGGGTCATAATGTCATTAAAAAAGACTCTGGGAAAACTAGAGTAATTTGGCTAGTTTACGCTTTTATCAATATGATGTTATAGTCAAGGCTCATTAAGGTCAAATATCTCTTAAAGTGAGATTTTATCAGAAACAAGAATGAAGAACAAAAAGTGATTGGACTATGAGGCATGATAACCAAATAAAATATATATCCTAGCAAACTGACTAGTGGCAAATATATATATATATATATATATATATATATATATATATGTTTGTTGACTACAATGGCAGAAAAAATATTTTTCCTTCAATAGCATATTTAATTATATGACATGAGGAGAAATGAATATGTATTTGTGGGTCCCATTAACTTGATGCGAGGAGACCTTCGTTATGGAGAATGGAAGTAAATGATACAAAAGGAATAGAGCCAAGATTTGTGATGATAATATCTGAAGTACTGCATCTTATTCCATATATATAAGGACTAGCAACCAACTTTATTTATGTATCATAGCATCCTACTTTCATTTCTTCTATTACAGCATTGTACTTCCGGATTTTTTTGTCTTATTAAGGCACTGTATTTCGCAAAAAACTTGCCCAAGTATAGCAGTGAAAATTGTTGTGTTCGTATGACATTGCTATCATTGCATAGACTTTTCAAAGTACATGTTGAAACAGAAAGAAATGATAAGATAGTAGATACCATAATAAACAAATCAATGAAAGTACATTGCTATTTCATGCACTTAACCCCGTATATAAACCATCCCGTAAATCAATAAGAAAATGATTAGAAAACCTACTGTCCCGGCACTTGAATAATGGGAACCGTAATGGAACTTGGGTATGACAGTATCGTTGAAACTGTAGTATCTCTCCTGAATCTTTTTCAACCGATCATCATTTAGTGCTCCAACAGGCTGCAAAAAATAAGTCGATAATCAACATCTCATCCTAAAATCTGTTTAAAAAGAAAAAGCAAAGCGTTGTGACCTTGGATAGATCTCGGTAAGATGAGGGATTTGCAAGATCCAAATGCGTTGATTTGTAATCCGAAAGAATCCATGGGAAAACAGGGTACTGCATGAAAAAGAAAAGTTATAATAAATGAAGTCCAGGCATTTGGATAGATAACCAGGAACGTTTGTTATTTTATTATT